CTGGTCCGTGACATCCTCATGGTGAGCTGGTCCTGGTCCATGACATCATTATGGTGAGCTGGTCCGTGACATCCTCATGGTGAGCTGGTCCTGGTCCATGACATCATTATGGTGAGCTGGTCCGTGACATCCTCATGGTGAGCTGGTCCTGGTCCATGACATCATTATGGTGAGCTGGTCCGTGACATCCTCATGGTGAGCTGGTCCTGGTCCATGACATCATTATGGTGAGCTGGTCCGTGACATCCTCATGGTGAGCTGGTCCTGGTCCATGACATCATTATGGTGAGCTGGTCCGTGACATCCTCATGGTGAGCTGGTCCTGGTCCATGACATCATTATGGTGAGCTGGTCCGTGACATCCTCATGGTGAGCTGGTCCTGGTCCATGACATCATTATGGTGAGCTGGTCCGTGACATCCTCATGGTGAGCTGGTCCTGGTCCATGACATCATTATGGTGAGCTGGTCCGTGACATCCTCATGGTGAGCTGGTCCTGGTCCATGACATCATTATGGTGAGCTGGTCCGTGACATCCTCATGGTGAGTGACATCCTCATGGTGAGGTGGTCCTGGTCCATGACATCATTATGGTGAGCTGGTCCGTGACATTATTATGGTGAGCTGGTCCGTGACATTCTCATGGTGAGCTGGTCCTGGTTCATGACATCATTACGGTGAGCTGGTCCGTGACATTATTATGGTGAGCTGGTCCATGACATCATTATGGTGAGCTGGTCCGTGACATCGTCATGGTGAGCTGGTCCTGGTTCATGACATCATTATGGTGAGCTGGTCCGTGACATCCTCATGGTGAGCTGGTCCGTGACATCCTCATGGTGAGCTGGTCCGTGACATCCTCATGGTGAGCTGGTCCATGACATCCTCATGGTGAGCTGGTCCTGGTCCATGACATCATTATGGTGAGCTGGTCCTGGTCCATGACATCATTATGGTGAGCTGGTCCTGGTCCATGACATCATTATGGTGAGCTGGTCCGTGACATCATTATGGTGATCTGGTCCATGACATCCTCATGGTGAGCTGGTCCTGGTCCATGACATCATTATGGTGAGCTGGTCCTGGTCCATGTCATGGTGAGCTGGTCCTGGTCCGTGACATCCTCATGGTGAGCTGGTCCGTGACATCCTCATGGTGAGCTGGTCCATATTCTGAAAGTATGAAACAAAGACAAAACCTGGGTTCCTCAATCATCTCTCTTCTCCTGTTAATTGTAATTTTCACATTGTACCCTGAATGCCCCAGTCAACAAATGCACCTGATAGGACAGCCATTCTTGCACTATAATATGTTTAGGCTGCTGCAGGAATTTTGTGGACAGGGTTTTGAGATGACCTATATTTACTGCATCATCCACCTTGGCCGCTTGGGGACCCAGTACCTGAAAGGCTCCAAAGACATCTATGTTCTGGAACCTTCTGTCCAGGAGGCCATCCAGATAAGACTCCATCGCCTACAAATGACACAAAAAAAAAAAATCTAGTAGCTAATTTGATAGATTGAAACCGTTTCCACAGGGAGACAACCTTGGGTCTGTTATTCTGTTTTGTTCTCCCAGACTGATAGTATTACTCAACATGATCTAAAACAAATGTACCTGTGTCCTGAATCGTGACCAGAGTACCTCTCTGGACTGTTGCAACTGGCCTGTGCCTTTCCTGTCCCTCTCCTCCTCATGGATGATACAAAAGGCACCTAATCCAACAAGAGCATCAATGTCTTCATGCAACTGGGCCAAGAATGAACCAGGGGGCTGTGCATCCCCTGCATCTCTTATTGCCCTAAGACATGCCATTGTTACGGGGACCTAAGAAAGACAGTCGCAATGCTTATACTTTTTTCCTTGAATGTGATTTATAGACCAATTTGGAGTAGACGTCACAGTTACGTCACTTGCAGCTGCGCGCGCATTGTGGTGGCATAAAAACACTGGGAACAAGTGGAGGGAAACGGGTAAAAACCATGGAATAAGAGAAAAACTGTATTGTTGTGCCTCTGGATGTCAGAATCGGAATGCAAATAATTTTTATATAATACTGTCGTCAAAGACGCCATTTGAAGCTAAACGCAGACCTTTAAACGGACAAACTATGGATGAAACCTGCTATGATTACCCTACTTTTAAAGCGTACATTTGATTTAAACAATAGGTCTATATAATATTCATATAGGGGACATATTGTATTAGCCCTACAGTTGAAATGCATGCATGAAATACTATTTAAACCTATAACATTTTACATAACATTTAAATATTTTATTTCACAATTCTGACTTTTTTTCTTGCAAATGCAAGTTTATATCTCCTAGTTCGGACTTTATAACTTGATTCAACTCATCAGTTGCGAGTTTGTCAATTCTGAGGGAAAAAAAGCCAGAAGTGTGGGATTATAAACTAAAAAGAAAGAATGACGAGTTGATTTTTCTTACCAGAATTGTGAGATATAATCTCGGAATTGCAAGAAAAAAGTCCGAATTTTGAAATATAAACTCAATATGACATTTTTTATTCTTTTATTCCGTGGCTTGAATAGACTGCTACGTTAAAACGGTCATTTTCTGCCACCAGATAGGCTCCGCCCACAAAAAACGTCATCACTGTTTGCAAACACTGAAATTGGTCTATTGAATAGGCCACAAATTGTTTCTTTAAAATAATGACAGAAATGTGTTAAACATTATATATTTTTAGAATGTACCTGTCCTTTGATGGCCCAGAAGTTGACACTTTCTTTCTGAAAACCCTTGGACAAGCGAGCAAGATGTGGTAGTGCATCAGCTTGTAGATGCATAAAGCGGTAGGTGCTGCAGAAGCCATACAGACCCCTGGCTACTGGGCACTTTATTGACCTCAGTCTCATTAGCCAAGACTGCACAGAGGTTCTTTTGCAGTGTGCTGACTGCAAAGTGCTGGGACAGCCAGCGTGTATCATTTACTTGCTGAAATTATTTTAGTCATGGTATACATTAATACAGAAAGTGCAAAAGTGGCCAACATTTGCTGCTGAAAGCTACATGTTCCTTCTGTGACCTCACCTTCACTTTTAAGTCCTTAAGCAACCCTCTACATTGCGAGTAAATCACTCGCATATGCGACTAAATCTTCACTCTGGGTGACTAAATGATGTCTAATATTAGCCACTGGCTAATAAATTCTCAGATTTTACTCGCCAGTGTGTGAGTTGGAGGCTAAGTATAATTTAAGCACAGATATATTTTATTTTCACTCACAGAAGACTCTGACTGAGCGCTTCAGAGTTCTCTCTCCATCAAGCGATCTGTGCTATTTTTCAGTTCATCTCAATGGATGTGCAGCACACCTGTGTTTTGCATACCGTAAAGTCTAGTGTGAAGACGCACGACTCGCCGCTGCTTTGCTTTTTTCTCACACGCAAAGAGACAGAGCGAGAGTATTTTACATACCATGCAGAATTGACGCACTATATGTAAACAATATCCTTTGTTGTATTTTCCTGTTCCTGTTTTGATTTCAGCAAATCAATTCGAGCGAATGCACACAACCTGATTAATATTCATGAATCCAGCAGCTCATTAATCCTTACTGCATTTTATATTGTTCTTATTAGTAGAATTCGTAGACCATTATTTTTTTACAGAAATACAGAATGACCAAAAAAGCACCACCACCAGTCCTAAGTTTAGTTAAAATGACTAATATGCATTCATATATTTGGTTACCAAGTTTTAATTCAAATTACAAAATTTCTATCATTAAATGATACTTGACTATCATAATATCATATTATAATGCTTGACTGACTGATGTTAAGAGTGTACTTTCATATTTAAAAAGCTGTGCCATTTTGAAAAAAATAAAAAAAAATAAAAAATATATATATATATATATATACAGTATCTCACAGAAATGAGTACACCCCTCACATTTTTGTAAATATTTTATTATATCTTTTCATGTGACAACACTGAAGAAATTACACTTTGCTACAATGTAAAGTAGTG